ATTTCTTTACATCAAGTTTTTACGTCGCGGCGATTTTTACAATGGATTCAAAACTTGAACAACGTTCTTGCATTAAATTTTGCTATAAAAATGAAATTAAGTGTTTCGACACATTAAAAATGTTACAAAAGTGTTATGGTGACGATACTCTATGGAAAACACAGGTGTACCAGTGGTATGAATGCTTTAAAAGTGGTCGTGAGGCTGTTGAGGACGATGCTCATCCTGGGAGGCCATCGACATTGAAAACTGATGAAAACGTCGATGAAATCCAACAATTGTTGATCGAAAATTGCAAATTGATGATAAGGGAGATAGCTGAGACCACCAACATATCATTCGGATCCGTACGCAAAGCTATCCGCAAAAAAAACCTGCTTTGGGGCAACAACTCGTGGATTCTCCATCTCATAATGCGTTGACTATTCGTGAGTTTTTCGTCAAAAACAACACCAATACCATTCAACAACCGCCCGATTTACCTGATCTGGCACCATGTGACTTCTTCCTATTCGATTGACTCAAAAAACCACTACGAGGAACTCGTTTTGAGAGTGTGGAGACAATAAAGCTAAAATCGCTGGAGGCACTAATGGCTATACCAAAAACCGACTTCCAGAAAAGCTTCGAGGGGTGGATCAAACGCTGGCACAAGTGCATCGCAGCCGACAGGGACTACTTTAAAGGGGACAACTTGAATTTTGAAGAATAAACATGTACTTTTTTTTTATGAGTAAATTCCGGTTATTTTTTGATCATGGTAGTATGTTTTGAGTTTATTGGAATAAATTCTATTGTATCAGGAAAGTACAATTTGTATGTATCAACAGGTTTGTATATAGATTTTGAATGTTTTTCCAAGAGACAATTAAAGTGATCTATATGCGCGTCTGTTAACCAGTCCCCTTGAATAATTATTATATTATCTTATCGCTTTCCTTAAAAACATAGTTTGTATTTTCTTTATTTTCTGACATTTTAATGATATAATTAGAATTCTGTTAATATGATAAGGATAATAATTCTATTATAGTAACAATATAATAACTTTAATAAAAAGAAAATTTATATAAGAATAATANAGTATAAGTTTATTCCAAGTATAAAGTAATGTTAAAGCAATTATATATTGGCGCAGAGTAGCTAGCTTTTTTGACGCAGAACAACCAGTTTTTTTGGCGCAAAACAGCCAATCTTTCTTGGCGCAGAGCTGCCGGTATTTATTGGCGCAAAGCAACCAGCTTTTTTGGTGCAGAGCAGCCAGTTTTTTTGGCGCAAAGCAACCAGTCTTTCTTGGCGCAGAGCAGCCAGCTTTTTTGGTGCAGAGCAGCCAGTTTTTTTGGCGCAAGACAGCCAGTCTTTCTCGGCGCAGAGCAGCCGGTATTTATTGATGCAAAGCAACCAG